GGTTCGATCAGTGACGGTGGTGTGTGGAGAAATTCTGAATTGGCTTCAGACCTTGCCTCCGGTGACGCTGATATTCCAGCACCAACACCTCTGCCAGGGAGAGATGTCCCTTTTCCACATGTAATTGTGGCCGATGAGGCCTTCCCTCTTAACACATACCTCATGCGCCCCTATGCAAGACGCAATGTATTAACACGCGAGCAACGTGTTTTTAATTACCGGCTCAGTAGAGCTCGCCTCTGCATAGAAAACACATTCGGAATACTAGTGTCACGCTGGCATATTTTGCACAAACGATTGCGTTTTTCTGTAGCAAATACACAAGAGATTTTGAAAGCTCTTGTTTGTCTCCACAACTTTATCATGAGCAGTAATGACAATAATGATAAATGTGCCTCTCAGTATTGCCCTCCCGATTGGCTCGATGTTGAGGATGAGGCTGGGCTTATTCATGACGGTCGGTGGAGGACTATTGGCCCTGGTGCATTTTTCAAAGAGTTGGGTAGAACTGGAGCTAATCGAGGTGGCTCAGAGTCGGAAGGCGTGCGCAATTACCTGAAACAGTATTTTGTATCTCCAGTTGGGGAAGCTCAAGCGCCCTGGCAGTATGTGACAGCTTTTCAAGGTCAAATAATTAACCCTCGCGCGTAGTCAAATTTATGTTTCCGTATCCCTGTGATATGATTTTTCTATATTTTTTAATAATGTGCTTCGTGGGTTTAATTCATTTGTCTTGCGTTTTATGTGATTGTAACTTGCTACCTAGTTCTCCAGTTAAACGCTGCGTTACTTGGCTATGAAAAGAGCATAATAAATATTTTCAAGACTGATAATTTTGTTTAGGGGTTTGCCAATAAGAAAATTGAATAAAATGAACGATTGCATTAATTGCGATAACATTTATTTTTTACTTATTATCCTCCAAATACAAAACCTCCAATACATCCTCCAATACAACCAACACAGTTTAAACTCGATGCTTTGGTCTACAGTGGAAGTGTGTGTTTGTGTCTCTTTGTGTATGCGTGTGTGTAGATATCTCTCGTGTATATCACGTATATATTTTATAAAATATATACATATAAAATATATTTCTACTTATTTCTTCATACACTTATTTTAAAACGCAACACGCACTCAATCACACTCTTTTCTCGCATTATTGTCCATTTCTCTCGTTATTGATTCTTATCAACTCACACTCTCTTTCTCTCTCTTTTAGTATCATCATCATTCTCTCCTGCCTTTCATACTGTGTAGCCTATTCATTGTAATATGGAAGACAATCGAAGTTTACAAAAGGCACTCACTTGCGCGATCGGACGATCGCAGTTGCACTGGAAACGGCGTTACAATGAAAATTTTTCGAGCGTTTTCTAAAAAAAAAAGTCCAACTACACCTTGCTACCTGGTCGCTTCTCACACGACCGATAAAAAAAAGAAAAAAAAACCTACAACTATCCTATAAATCTCGACTTTACAGTTTATTTATGAAAATCATCACGAACAAAACCTTTTGTTCTAAGCAAAGTTGCGCATGTGTTATAATATTAAATATAATTATAGACAATAAGTAAATTAAAAACATTAATTTTTATGACCGATAATATAATCTTTAGTATCTTTAAGTAGAAGAGAGTGGAACGTGGCAACTCGCAATGCATTGCAACGCATTTTGTACTAAAAAGAAAAGAAATAACGCATTCGCGCGCCTACAGCACATTAAATAGTACTTTTCAGCTGTACAAAAATCTTCGTCCACATTACGTCTCCCGTTAATTAATACTAATGTTTAGCTTTGTTTCATCCCGACTGTGCTTACATCTCAGATAGTATATTTATATACGTGTATTCCAATGAACGTATCTAGGAATACATTTGTTACATTTACAGGCACTATTCCCTTCAAAATCGAATAATTATCGTCACCTGCGTTTCTACATGAAAAGAAAAGAGTTAAGATCTGCGTTTCGAATTTATACTCCAACTGAAAGCCAATTTACGTAACTCTAAGTAAAACTTTTTTGGTTTATAGTCATCCTCAACAACTTGATTACGTGGAATTGCTTTGAAAAAATATCTCGAGTCGTATATAATTATAATTATCGGCCATAAATTACAGTAAGTAAATTAAAAATTTTAGCAAAAATCACAGCTATCCCAATCTTGCTTCACTGTGCTTGTCCACTCTTGTTTTAGAGAAATCATTAATGTGTTGCAACACACTAATGAGACATTCAAGCAGAGCATGCTCGGGTATTGCACTTAATGCGAATCCTATGGCACTCAGCATGGGCTGAACACCAGGAGATGCATTGCTAACAACTGCTGACGGGGCACTTGGCTGTGCAGATTGAGTCGTAATTGCTTCACCGATCTTCGCTGCAAGGTCTGTCAGTTCCTTATTCTGCTCAATGAAGGACTTATTGACAGCTTCTATCTCCTGTCGTTTTCTGGTTGCAAAGGAATCAGGTGGAGGCACCTTGCGCTTGGTAGTGATCTTGGACATAGCCCTATGCACCTGTGAAATGTTGCTTTCAGACCTCGAAGTAACTGCAGATATTGGTGTTGCAGGAGGTAGTGTTGGAAGAGGTAGTGTTGTAGAAGGTAGTGTTGTAGAAGGTAATGTTGCAGGAGGCAGTGTTGCAGGAGGTAGTGTTGCAGCAGGTGGTGTTGCAGGAGGTAGTATTGCAAGAGGAGGTGGTGAATAGGGATCCTCAGATACTTCTGTAGAACTCTCATCAGTATCTGAAAATGCAACAATGAATACTTCAGATTATGTTATACCAAACTGTGTGAGACCTGACAATAAATTTTTAATCTCCTTACTTGCGAGTCTTGTATGCAAGTCCCAATTCCAAGAACTAATCGAACTAGACGTGTCTGGGCTTGTAGCAGAGAAGGGGGGAATTGTGCATAATACTGTTACTTGACTATCAGAAGGAGCAGGCGTACACTGGACCGAGGAACTTGTACGAACAGCTTTGGACTTGTAGTTGGATGAGGTTCTGTAATCACATTACAAACATTAATTATGTCATCAACATTTGTTATGCAAAACTTCTCCGGCCACAACACTTACTTTCTAGGTTTGATGATGTCCTCCAGGAATGTCAGATCCTTGTAGAGCACCCAAGTGGGTGTGTATGTGGGCTGATCAGCTCCAGCTCCAGACCTTGGCATAGACTGCACGACTTTCCTCCGCTCTTTTCCAAAGCGCTGCCTCAGGGCATAAAATCGTTTCTCAGCAGCAGGACCTGACAAGTAAATTATTTTTCATTCCTTTCATTTCACAAAA